AAGCAGATGCCTCTGTGATCCGAAAGGTTTCCCAGACTTTTAGCAACTTAAGGAAGAATTTTGAAGGGACTGTGTGAATTGGACTCTACCATAATGAATGCTGACAGAGGAGAGAAGCCTCTCCTTGACAGTCCCAAATCAGGAACTAAAGTGAGGGTAGGGCCCATTGGAGCAGCAATTGAAGGTTTGACCTGAGGAAAGATTTCTTGAAAGTAAGTATATTAAAAAGTTAGGCCTAGTTCTTGTCTATCCTACTTCTTGAGGCCATGCAGAGGGATTGCTTTGCCCTAGATTTATGGCAACTCCCCTAGTTTGTGATTTAAGATGAGGGAGACAGTCCAGCACAGTGAGTTGTGGGAGGCAAGGAGCCAGTCAATACACATGAACTGCCCAACCCACATTCATGTCTGCAATGGGAATTTTACTTTCTTTGGGCTGCAGGTAAAGCAGCCCACTACTTAGTTGAAAAATGTAACTTTGTACGCTTTGTGCTCCCAGAAAGCAAAGACTTTTTCATTTATATTGGGCCACTTTATTGCAAATCCAGAGTGGTCCAGCTTCAGATCCAGCAGAACCAATGCATTTTTGCTGCATAAGTTAACAAGGTGGCGACCACAGACAGGGTCTTGCTGGTCTCTACACGCTCCTGAGCTCTGTTTCTGAAGGTCTCCCTGTACCCTGACATGTAGATTGTGCTACAATTTTGTGAACTATATGCTTATTTTACCCATCAGCTAGTAATAATGTAACTGATGGATAAAATAAGTACCTTTCATTAATATTTTCCTCAAATGTGGCTTGCAAAGGCCTTAGCCTTGTGACACTGCTTAGCAAAAATTGCAGATAATCTTGGAGTTCATGCTCTTGTTAAGCAGAAATTGGTACGGGTCTTACTGATCTTAAAATACACAGATGGATGGATATAATAATCTTTATATAGAGAGCCCTGCAAATCCACGGAGCATTTTTGTGGATAGTGGAGCGGATGCAGATACAACGGCACAGGGCTCTATGGATCTGGAGTGGAGACAGAGACTCATTTACACAGGGCCGAGCCAAGCTGAGCCTTGCCTAACCAAGTCCCAAACCACTTCGGAGGAGCTTTGCCTCTTCCCAGCACCTGCTGGGTGGCTTATAAAGTGCAGCCGGGTCCCCGGTCTCCATTTGCGGCAGCAGCAGCCACTTCCCCCCACCATTGGGGCTATGAAGCCAGGAAACACATCCAGGAAAAGGAAATGCAATTTCTGACAGAACCTGGAGTGCTTTAAATAGTGGTAAAAAGTCATCTCTGCGGGCTGGGAGCAGCAAGAAGGGAGAGTGAGAGGGGAAGGGGGAAAAAGGAAAAAAGGGAGGGAGACAGGGGATGGAGAGAGCATGAAGTACCAAGGAGCCAGGCCGCCTGGCTGACGGCTTGGGGAGCAGAAGGATGAAAATGAGCCAGGGGAGAAGTAGGAAACAGGAGCCCATCCCCAGCCTCTCAGGCTGGGTCCCCGCAGGGAGGGCAGACCCATAGGTGCAGCAGGGGCTCCAAGCCTGGGCCCCGTCCTGTCCCCCGGGGCGGCAGGCCCGATACCTGGCAGGTACATGTTTAGCAGCAGCAGCTGGGCTCCAGTGCCATGCCTCATGACAGTGCCTGTCCCACAGCATCCAGCTTGGGCATCCTGGGGGGGGGGGGAATTCTGGGGATTAGCCCAGCATGGTTCAATGCTGCCTTGCACCCTTCCTTCCACTAACAGAGGCATCGTACAGCCTCTCATGACTCTGTACTCCTGCCAGGTCTCTTCTGTGTTTTCCCTTCCCTTCAAGCTCTCAAAGTCTCTCTCAGGGGTGGGGCAGTCCTCACACCCACTGCCCTGACTATTTCACTCCTGTAGTGACTCAGGCGGTCTTCCCGTTCACTGCCACTCTGCAGTGTATGGAAGGGGAACCCAGGCCCATCCTCTACTCTGGGTTCCAGTCCAGAGCTCTACTGTGAGCAGGTAAGATCTGGTTCTTCCCAAAAAAGAACATAAGAATGGCCCTACTGGGTCAGACCAAAGGTCCATCTAGCCCAGTTTCCTGTCTTCCAACAGTGGACAGTGCCAGGTGCCTTAGAGGGAATGAACAGAACAGGTAATTCAAGTGATCCATCCCCTGTTGCTCATTCCCAGCTTCTGGCAGCTTATTGCCAGGTTGGTGGTAGAAGGTGACCCAAAAGTGAATAATAGCCTTTGCCTCTTTATCAGGCTGTGTATGGAACAAGCTCACTTCCTGAGCACCTCAGCTATAAGAGAAATTGCTTAGAATAGTGGTTCCCAAATTTTCGTATGTGGAGCCTTGCTGATGTATCTCAGTTCCTACTGTAGTTACATTAAAAGCTAAAAATAATCATTCTAATATGAACAAGCTTTAATGACTAGAGATGTTGATATCTAGTGTGATTATGTGGTGTACATCATCTTGCATGGGAGATAATATGTGGCAAAAGGCACAAGTACACCCCAACCTTTAAATTGGTGGAAAGGAGGTGGTAACAGAGTATGACAGTTTTCTCTTTTTAATCATACTGACCTTTAAAGATCCCATGGCACTTCATGCAAGTGTAAAGGAATCAACCCTGCTATCTTGGCCAGATTCCAATTTGAGTAATTACAATTCTGCCTACCTAAAATTCCCCTTGCAGGAATTTCACTTGGCTACTACATTCAGTTCCCTTCCTAAACTATTCCTGTGCATTGTTAAACAGCTGCTTTCTTCTACCCCTGGGTTTTCTTCATTCCAAAAGGAGATGACGCCTATATTTTGTTTATGAATCACTCTGGGCGAAAAAAGTACTTGCTTCATGTAAGTTGTTTCCTTCAACTGCCTTTCAAAAACACCTTTTTTAAAATGTGGATTGATGACTGAATTACAGCTGAATTCTTAACCTGCAGAGGAAAATGAAGAATCCTCTCTCACCTATTCTTATTTTCAATTAGTTTATGCATAAAAATAAATTTCAAACACACACACGCTACTGTCAGTTACTGTCCTGTCCTTTAAGAGTGGTTGCATTTTACTTTGTTATTCTGTAGTAGAGATGATGGATTTATTTTTAATTTATACAGAATTACCTTTAAAATGGCACATATTGGTTCAAGAATGGTTTGGATATAAAAATTTAGGGGACAAAAGGATATATATTCTTAGAATATATTGTCCTCATTGCAATCAACAGGAAATCGAAACCTCCTTAACCGGAGAAGAAATACATGTCACTTCATTTGCTTATTTGGCAGTTTGTTCCTTAAATGCCTTTCTAAAGAGATTTTTCCTGGTGTTTATTTAAATTATTTTTTATTATTTACAGCTAACCATGTGCTAAAGTTTGGAACGCTTGTCAGCACTTCAAATACCTACGATGAATCTGGAGTTGTGACCATAGAAACAGATAAACCGTTGCTGTGGACAATGGGTATCAAAAATAAGCAAAATGCTTAAGATTACAACTGCCTTTTTTTCAGCTGACTGAAGACTTTAAACATGTTGGAAAATTTCACTCATTAACAGAAACAATTATTGTGGCAGGAATCAAAATAAAATTCTTTTTTTTTTTTCCTTTGGAAGACCAGAGGGAAGGGAAAGATAGTGGAGTTTAATAAGTCAAGTGAAAAATCTTTAGGAAGATAGTAGTGACAAAACTGACTGAATAACTCATTCTAGTTCTGTGCATAGGACACATGCACTTCCTAAACCAGCAGCACTGAAAGGGACTAATGGGCATAGACTGACCGACTCTTACTCCTTGCAGGAGTGTGTCCATATTAGGTTTTAATATTACTGTTAAATCAGTGGTTAAAGAATCTCTTCTCGAGTCAAATTTTAATTGATGTATTATGTATATTTTTGACTTATACAAAATTAGTACAGCAGTATTGTAAGTAATCCTTTTGCTGTTTAATGTGACTAGAACAGGCTGATCTTCTGCCCTGCTGTTTAGTAACATAGATTTTAAGTCTACTTCACTTGAGTTAATTGCAAATTTTAAAGGAAAACAGCAATAAATACCACTGCAGTGAAGCTCAGAATAGCAGGCTGAGTATTTCTTTTAATGCTGCTGTCTGTGCTGCCATTTTACTTCTACTTTCCAGCATTAGGTACTATTTACAAACTTCTAATTAACAGAAGGTAAGCAGCATTCAACTAATCAAGTGCTCGTAAACTATCAGTGTGCAAGCTTTTATAGATTAAAACGTTCAGACTTGTCACAACTGTATGAGCTTTGTAGGCAGAAGTTCATGCAGGGTCTTTAAACAACTGGATAAAATTGCATTTTAATTTGGTTATCACAGCAGTCTCTTCAAATTTTACACACGGGTATATTTTCTTTTAAAGGGTTTGTTAATTTAAGGTGGCACAGAACGCATACATCATTGAATAGATGCTAAACACGATGGTATATAACAAATTTAGTGCTAATGTTGGTGTCAAGTTGCACCATCTTGAAAAGCGCTGTAAAGACAGTAGTGGAATCCAAAACTGTTTGGTAAGGAAGGATAAGGGCCCTGAGCTGATCTGTAAGTACGTCTGTAATATATGTATTTCAGTTGCTGCCTCTTAAAGAGAGTGTTTAGAACAAGATCTGAAAAACTAAACTACTTTTTGTAAGTAAAACCAAAGATCACATCAATTTAAAGACTAGAGCAAAATCTTTTCAGCTTGTTTCGTGCTTTTAACAGCATTTTATACAGGCACATTCCCCCTCCACCCCCCAGGTTACAAGACACAATATAGGAAAATGGAAGTAGGTTAGTATTTTTAACCTGAATAGATTTAGAGTTGGTTTTTAGTACCACCTAATGCTGGGCCAAAAGTAATATGTAAAAAATTATTCTACTGCTGAAAGCAGTAAACCAAGAAAGGCAGTTCAGTCACCTTACCTCATCTTGTACAACTAGCAGCACACAGTGATAAGTTATTTACTGAGCCTAGAAAGTTCAAAGAGTCAGTAAAACAAAATGAGACCAACTCAGATATCAAGCTTGTTTTAAATCTTAGCCTGGTTTATAGCAGTAAACAAACAAGATACAGACTTACGGAATATTAGTAAGCAAAAAAGCCCCCCACACTCCACCCCCATTGTCCATCACTCCAAACTTCAGGTAACAGATCTTGATGAGTGTTCAGCCACCACTGTAGAACAAGAGAATTTGATCAGTGTCAAGTAAGACTGCTATCTTAAGTTACATCATCCCATTCTAACTGGAACAAAGTCCCCACTATGCCTTAAAAACAGCACAGACATTACACAGCTCCTTCTCTGAGACAGGTTTCTTAATTTGAGGATCATACCACTCTTGCTCCAAAAGGGGTAGTAAACAGATATCAGAGGAGTCCCGATACTTTTGCTGTAATATGCGTCCCTACTAGGGAAATGATTGAGAACAACTTTTGGCAAAACAATTGCTATTTTAACCAATTAAGAAGCCTTAACTGAAGTGTTTGAAACCTTCAATATCAGTGATTTTTGTAGTGCTACTTACCAGATTGATTTAAGGTTCAATGTTCATATGCAAAAGCTTAATACACAAATTGTGGTGTATTGTACAAAAGTTATGATTATGTAAAATTGGAAACACTGCTTTACTTTTAATAAAGGTATTTTTAATACTATTTATTAGCTTTGTTGGGTGACTTCTTCCAATACAACCTCAAGACTATATGGCTCATTTATACACATTCTCTGCAAGTGTTCAGGTCACTTGGTGAAATTTCTAAAAATTTCGTGAAAAGTTAAAAGAATGCAAAATCCAAACAAACTATCCACTGTATTATCTAAACATGCACTCATTTTAAAAAAGTCTGCATATTTATATTGTGTTTTGACAAATAAAGCTTCTATTTTCAAAGTTTCAATTATTTTGGTAATTTATTTCAAAATACCTGTCAACAATACACACAATGACAAAAAAAGATTCCCCCAGGAGTTAAAGAAACCCTCTGACAACCCAGTTCCTGTTGGGAGGTATTGGAGGGGGCTGTGTGGGGTCCCCAGATCCCAGACACCTGCACTCCCCTCCCTCCAAGCCCAGACTCACTCAGGAACATATACACCCCTCCTCCCAGAGCCCAGCTGCACGCACCCCCAAATTCTTTACTGTCCCACCATGGGACTGTGCAACCCTGCTCTTCCTCACCCTCTGCCAGAGCTGGGTCTCCCAGGCCCTCTCCTGTCCCCAGAAGAATGAGGATCAAGCTGAGCAGCCTGGCACACCACTTACTGTAAGCTGTGCTCTGCTGAGTCCAGTGGCCCCTAGTGGTGGCCAGCAGCTCTGCAGCCCAATTCTGCCTGGGAAATATGTAATTCTGCACAAATTCTGCATTGCACAGTGATGCAGAATTCCCCCGGAGTATTTAAATGTTCAACATTTAGCTTCTAAACCTCTTCGGCCATCTTCTCTCATCTACAAGTGCAATGATAGTACTAAAATTTTGCAGTATATTATTTAGTAAACAAAAGATGAAGCACTAATATCTGAAAGCAAAATCGATTTACTGAAAACTCCTAAATGTTTACAAGATATATATGAAGTTGCTGAAGTGCTCATGTACTATAGTGATGGGGGCCACATAAGTTATTGGATAAATGAATACCAAAAGTTATGTTCATTGAAATACTAAGTTTAGTTATCAGTTCAATTCTGAACACTGTGTTATTCTTGTTCGGATACTAGCATTAGCCTTTTATCAGATTTACTTACACAATGATGTTGTTGATAGGGATATGGATCAATTTCACAAAGAAACCAATAAATCCCATTATCGCAAAACCTATTGCTGTTGCCATGGCAATCTTCTGGAATTCTGCAATTTAAGAAATTATCGGTTTTAGTCCTGTAAATTTAAACCTACCACTTAAAATGCAGATTAGGTTACTACAATGACCATGGAGATTTGTGCCTTTGAAAGTTTCTCCCAATGTTAAGATAAAAGACACTTTAGAAGTGTCATTTAGATGGTAATGCCCAGAGACAGACAGTTATTTCATTTCTAAAAATAACCCAAGTTTTATTAATGCTAGGTTTCCAGGGATTAATACTTATAGGATTACAAAATATAGAATCATGCATTACTTAAAGCCAGATAAGCTAACCTGAACTTTTAAGTCACTGACAATACTGTAAACTTAAAGTACTTAAGCATTCAATTTCCAAAAGAAAATAAGCGAAATCAAGTTAGTGACAATGGAAAAGATTAATTTGAGCAGACTAAACATCAGGATGTGAAGTGTCCATAGAAACCATCAAAAGGATTCTGAAATTAAGAAATTTACATTTCAGAACACTTCAGCTGTGTAGAGTGCTTCAGAAACTCACTACCATACTGCTATCACAAGTTTGACTTCAGCAAAATGTATACCAGGAAAAAAAAAAAAAACTTTCAAATTAGTTTGGTTATACGCAGAATTAAGTGCATCTCATGATTTTTCAGACAAAACTGGTTTGCTACATAAATGCAGAACTGAGAGAATCAGTCAACGTGAAAAATAGACATCAGTATGCCTATAAACACATGAAGTTCCTGTTCTTTGTGTTTCAGGCAATATCATAAGATAGAAAACTGAAGCGAAATGAGCATTATGGCCCTAGTTTTTTTGCATACTTTACCTTTTCTGTCTGGCTTAGTGCATCTTTTAACAAGCCTGATGGAATCTTTTACAAATTGACGACTTGGCTCAACAAATTGCATTACTTGATCCATGATCGCCTGCAAGAGTGTTACATTTTAATACACAGATTGTTGCAAGAATCATTTTGAAAAATCATTTCACATCTTACATAAAGAGGCAAATCCTGCCTTTGCCCCTCTGCTGGTCTTCTTTAATGTACATTAAACATTGAATGTGAAAATTGTTAACACTTTAATCACACACAAGGTCAGGATTCTATGTTGTTTTTTTTAACAAAGATGTTAAAAATCCGTATTTTGTTGCAGGGTATGTTCCTTTTTCTTGTGGAATTAGATCGCCCAACATTTGATATATTCACACTAGCTTTTATTATTTGTATTACCACACCGGCTAGGAGCCGCAGTCAGGAAGCAGGACCCTGCTGTGATTCACTACTAGGTACTACTCCCTGAAGAAGAGGAATGACTCGCCAAGCTCTCCACGGGGGGTGTCGAGGGGGACAGGGAGCTGGCAGAGGGAACGGGGCGGGAGGAGGGAACCACGGGCGCTGCCCAGGCTCAGGGCTAGGCGGGTTTATAGCCGGGATTTTGCGGACCACCCACAACCGAGGCTTTCGCCAGACTCCCGCTCCCTTTTCCCTTGACACCCGCTCCACTTACGGAGGGCGCCGGCCCCAGCCCTCCAGGCCAGCCCCAGACACGAGCGCAGCGACCCCCGGGCCCGCTGCGAGGCTCGCCGGCCCGTCACAGCCCCAGGAGCGGCCGCAACGTAGGGGAGGGCGGGGGGGGGCAGAGACGGCGGGGCCCCCCCCTCACCGCTCCCGCCCCGCTCAGAGCTACCGAGAGGGAGCCGGCGGCGAGCGCCCAGCGCGCTGCCCCCGGGGACCCCGCACGGAAAGCGGCGGCGCTCGGCCGCCTTGGCTCCCCGCGCAAGAAGCGCCGTCCCCTCCCGCACCGGCCCCCTGGCGGAGGAGCCGCTCCCGCTCTCACCTCGGGCTCCGGGACCGAACGAACCGCTCGCGCTAAGGACACGTAGCAACTGCAGACTCCACGGCCGAGGAACCGGAACAAGAAACTTGCCCCGGAACTGACGCCCCCCCTCTCCAGGCCGCCGTCACAGGCTCCCCGCTGGGCCCACGGCAGCCTGAGAGCGGCCCCCTCCCCTCCCGAAGGCATGCGCTCTGAGGCGCTGTGGCAGGCCACGCCCACTCCCTTGTGGGTGGGGAGAGGATGGGCATTGCGATCTGCGGCTGCGCAGATGGAGAGCGTTAGGCGCTGAAGAAGGGACGGGGGGCGTGGAGCGCTGGAGTGTGTTGCGCGCGGGGGCGGTGTCGCGCGCATCTCTCTCGCTTCTGTGTGTAGGTTTCAATACGGCCCATCGCCCCGCTGGTCCCCGTCGTTGTTGGGGGAGCTTGGGGACGTAACAGCCCCCGTTCTCGTTTTTACTGACTGGTTACATTGCCATAATGGAGCGTCCCATAGTAGCAGCAGCGCTGTGGTGAGCCACTGTGTTAATTGTATTGCAGGAGAGACTGTGAGCCCCATTCAGATATGAGGATCCCGGCACTGTGCAAGGTGCTGTACAAACGTAGAGCAAAAAGAGGGGCTCTCCTTCCTTCTCTGCCCAGGGACTCAATGCACCTCTTGCAAGCATTACCCATCTGGGGAGCCTCTGGGCTAGAGTTTCCCATGGTGGGCTCTTCCCAATAGACAATACAGTGGAGGGGAGTCCTATAGGCAGCCAGTGGGGCAGTGGCTGTTATTTTCCTTGTTTTGACGTGTAAGGGATTTCTGCTGTTTTAAAATAACATGCAAACCCAGGGGCACCATTTTTTTTATTTGTTAGGCAAGAGGAAAATCCCCTGCCCTAAGAGAGCTCAAATTTTCACATCTGGTTGCCTGAACTTAGGCTTCAAAATCTGTATTAGGCACCCACACAAAAATGGACAGAATTTTCAAAAGTGCTGAGGAACCCTGGCTTCCACTGGCTTCAGTGTGATTGTCTGGGGGAGAGGAGGATGCTCAGCAGTGGTAAAAATTAGACCTCTTCTATGCACCTGTCCAAATATGTATCAGGAGCCTAACTTCAGACACCTAGGATCCAAAAGCCCAGAGGTAAGTCAAACACATGGTGACTTGGGAGAAGGGTTAGACTCTGGGGGGAGCATAGGCCATTAGAGCAGGGACAAAGGAGAGCCAAGAGGATATGGGGGAAATGAAATCAGTATCTTACATGTGTGTATACTAAAGCAAGAAATATGGGGAATAAACAGGAAGAACTGGAAATACTAGTGAATAAACACAACTATGACATAGTTGGCATCACAGAGACTTGGTGGGATAATACATGACTGGAATATTGATATAGACGGGTACAGCTTGCTGAGGAAGGAGAGGCAGGGAAAACAGGGAAGAGCTGATGCCTTGAGCATCAAAGATGTATACACTTGGACTGAGGTTGAGATGGAAGTAGGCTACACACTTGTTGAAAGTTTGGGTAAGGAGACAAGGGGTAAAAAAGCAAGGGTGATGTTCTGCAAGTTCTTAGAATGCATTGGAGATGATTTTTTATTTCAGAAGGTGGAGAAAGCTACTAGGGGAGAGGCTGTTTTATTCTTATTTTGACAAATAGGGAGGAACTGGATGAGCGTTTAAAAGTGGAAGGCAGCTTGGGTGAAAGTGAGCATGAAATGACAGAGTTCATGATTCTAAGGAATGGAGGAGGGAAAACAGCAGAATAAAGATAATGGATTTCAAGAAGGCAGATTTTATCAAACTCAGAGAGTTGGTAGGTATGATCCCATGGGAAGCAAGACTAAGGGGAAAAACAGTTCAAGAGAGCAGTTTTTCAAAGAGACAAGGCACAAGAAGAAACTATCCCATTGTATAGGAGAGATAGGAAGAGATGACCTTGGCGTAACCAGGAGATCTTCAATGATCTGAAACTCAAAAGAGTCCTACAAAAAGTGGAAACTAGGTCAAATTATGAAAAATAATACAAATATCCTGGAATATAAACAACATGAGCATGTAGGGACAAAATTAAAAGGGCCAAAGCACAAAATGAAATTAAACTAGCTAGAGACATAAAGGGGAACAGGAAAACATCCTACAAATACATTAGAAGCAGGAGGAAGACCAAGGACAAGGAAGTCCCATTACTCAATGATGGGGGAAAGATAATAACAGAAAATGTGGAAATAGAACAAACTTTTTTGTTTCAGTTTTCACCAAGAAGGTTTGTAGCTATCGGACATCTAACACGGAACGACAGTGAAAATGTGTAGGATCTGAGGCTAAAATAGGGAAAGAACAAGTGTCAAGGTTCCTCCCCCACTCTGAACTCTAGGGTACAGATGTGGGGACCTGCATGAAAAACCTCCTAAGCTTATCTTTACCAGCTTAGGTCAAAACTTCCCCAAGGTACAAAATATTCCACCCGTCGTCCTTGGATTGGCCGCTACCACCACCAAACTAATACTGGTTACTGGGGAAGAGCTGTTTGGACGCGTCTTTCCCCCCAAAATACTTCCCAAAACCTTGCACCCCACTTCCTGGACAAGGTTTGGTAAAAAGCCTCACCAATTTGCCTAGGTGACTACAGACCCAGACCCTTGGATCTTAAGAACAATGAACAATCCTCCCAACACTTGCACCCCCCCTTTCCTGGGAAATGTTGGGTAAAAAGCCTCACCAGTTTGCATAGGTGACCACAGACCCAAACTCTTGGATCTGAGACCAATGAAAAAGCATTCAGTTTTCTTACAAGAAGACTTTTAATAAAAATAGAAGTAAATAGAAATAAAGAAATCCCCCCTGTAAAATCAGGATGGTAGATATCTTACAGGGTAATTAGATTCAAAAACATAGAGAACCCCTCTAGGCAAAACCTTAAGTTACAAAAAAGATACACAGACAGAAATAGTTATTCTATTCAGCACAGTTCTTTTCTCAGCCATTTAAAGAAATCATAATCTAACACATACCTAGCTAGATTACTTACTAAAAGTTCTAAGACTCCATTCCTGGTCTATCCCCGACAAAGTCAGACTATAGACAGACACACAGACCCTTTGTTTCTCTCCCTCCTCCCAGCTTTTGAAAGTATCTTGTCTCCTCATTGGTCATTTTGGTCAGGTGCCAGCGAGGTTACCTTTAGCTTCTTAACCCTTTACAGGTGAGAGGAGCTTTCCCCTGGCCAGGAGGGATTTCAAAGGGATTTACCCTTCCCTTTATATTTATGACAACAAGTTAAAAATTACTTAGACAAATTGGATGTCTTCAAGTTGGCTGCGCCTGATGAAATACGTCCTAGATTACTCAAGGAGCTGTCTGAGGAGATATGAGCCATTAGTGCTAATCATCGAAAACTTATGGAAGACTGGAGAGATTCCAGAGGACTGGAAGAGGGCAAATATAGTGCCCATCTATAAAAAAATGGGAATAAGGGCAACCTGGGGAATTACAGATCAGTCAGCTTAATTTCAGTGCACGGAAAGATAATGGAACAAATAATCCATCAATTTGCAAATACCTAGAAGATTATAAGGTGATAAGTAAAGTCTTTTTTTTTTAAGCAGAAAAGAATTTTATTTGTATAACACTTACAAAAATCACCAAAAAGGAAAAAACAAAACTATGCAACAAAACAAAAGTAAACGCAAGGTATACCACAGCAGCCTTCAGGAGGGAGAAGTGTTCAGGCTAGCCTGGGCCCAGAGCAGGGGGGCTTCCTCGACACTCGGGGTCTTCCACCCCCTCGAGTTACCTAGTGCCATGCCCAGTGTCATCGATTATTCCTCTCCTGAGAGTGCCCCACAAGATGGGCACGGCTGCGGGGTGGGCAGTTTGGGGGGGGGGGGGGGAGGATGTACACCCACGTGTGATAGGACCCTTCCTAGGTGATGGTGATGATGGTATCCACAGCGGCAATGGCTGGGGCTGGGGTCTCTCACTCTTCCCCTCAATCAAAGGGTCAGATGGAGGGAACCGGACAGGGTCACCGAGCAGAGAACCTCAGACAGCGCCCACCGCTCCTCGAAGGCGTCAAGGGAGTCGGTGGACGCTGCCCAGAGGAACTCCGCCCAGATACGTGAATGTACTGAGGATCGGAAAATGGCCCTACAGTTGCAGGATGCTTCATTGACCAACCTCCTCTCTCTGGTTTTATAGATGGCTGTTTTAGCTAGGGCTAGGAGGAGGTTAACCAGGAGATCCTGCGACTTTGTGGGGCCATGGATGGGGAGTGTGTAAATAAAAAGGTGAGGGGAAAAGTGCAGCCAAAAGCGTAATAAAATATTTGTGAGGAGCCGGAAAAGGGGCTGCAGCCTGGCACACTCTAAATATACGTGTGCCAGGGTTTCCCTCACGTCGCAAAAACGGGAAGTATCCGGGATGGGGGTGAACTGCGTCAAAAACATGCCTGTGCTCACAGCTCCGTGAAGGAGCCGCCAGCTAATGTCCCTGACGGGCCTCGGGACCAAGGTGGAATACAGGCTGGCCCACCGGAAGTAACAGTCAACATGGATTTGTCAAGATCATGTCAGGCCAACCTGTTATAGGATGTTGTGTAGTAACAAGATAGATGGGCTGATAACTATTCTAATTCAGGGCTAGTCTACACTGGCAAAGCTTTAACATGGCTTGTGTGGTTGCTCTCCCAGCGCTCTAAAAAAACCCACCGCCACGAGGGGTGTGGCTTCCAGCACTGGTGCACCGTCTACACTGGTGTTAACATTGCTGAAAATTTGTGCTCAGGGGGATGTTTTTTCACACCCCAAGCGAGAAAGTTGCAGCACTGTAAATTGCCAGTGTAGACAAGCCCTTAGTTGTTTAGCAGGACCCCCACCCCATAGACAGATGCTGGAGGGGTAAAAGATCCTATCATCTGGTATTGCTTAAAATAAAATAGATCACGATAAAGGTGTAAAGCAGGTAAGTAATTTATTGAAGGGTAAGATACAGTAGTGGGAGAGGGGGAAGCAACATATATAAAACAGATCAAACTGAATATATAACAGCTCGGTGGTTTATATTCCAAGGCAGGCTTGAAGCCCAGACCCTACCAATTACCATAACAGACTACAGGCATGTGAGTAACAATTAATGTTACTTTCAGATGGATGACACCGAAACACAA